TCGGGCAACACTGTACAATTCTAGGCATCCCAAATNTAAGATGTACGTTCACTTTAGGCGCTTTACACATTGGTCTTCTAAGCTTCTCATTGCCATCGATGGACACATAACCTTCTTTACACCCTTTCTGTTCACATACATGTTCCATCCACTGAAAAATATAAATATAACAAATTAAAATTAGACCTGTACGACACAGATCTGTCAGATTCCGAGCTGTTAAACATTTTCATCTATTGTAACTATTGTGTTATTTAAGGATTGAATGTAGAATTTTTTGCGTTTCTTTTGCAATGCCATTCATGGAAGATTTAATACTTGATAACGTCCATAACTCCAATAAACGCAAAGAAAATTAAAATTCAATTGAAGAAATAGCTTACATTTAACAAGCTAAATAATTATCTTTAACTGACATTTAAAAATAGATAGAATATTAATAAAGAACACTATTATAGATATGTTACTCCTTCCTTTGATTTTAGCTACGTTTCATTTCGCATACAGGAATCTTTATTGCCCCTTATCTGATGTACATTTGATTTGATTGAAAGACTATTATGACAGTTGTATTTTTCTGTTTAGGGTTATGACCTAGTTTACACCTGTTATAAATGTATTGTTGACAGTATTACATAATCCTTATAACTCCCATCCTTATAACACCTTTATAATCTCTGTAATTAGAGTATAATTTATTTTAATAAAGTGTTGAATTTTGTTTTTGCATAGTGATTTATTTATTGCTTTAAAACTGTAAATTTGTTCATTATCAAACTTTTCGAATTTTTTCTGTGAGATGAATAGAAGTCAAACTAGACCTGTTCGCTACAGATCTGACAGCTTCCGAGCTGTTGTGTATACGTTCTATTGTAACTATTGGGTAATTTAGGAATTGAATATAAATTTTTGCGTTTATCATGCAAGATTTAATATGTGACAATCTGACGTCCATATCGCCAATAAACGCAAAGATTCAATCAAAGAAATAACTTATGTTTAGCAAGCTAATTAACATCTTAATGTGACATTTACAGTTAGCTAGAACACTATAATAAAGAACACTCTTATAGTACTTCTTCCTTAATTTTGCAACGCTTCAATTCACATACAGGAATCTTTATCAAGCTGTTGACTTGTTACATAACCCTTTTAACACTGATTGTAGAATTA